CGCCCAACAGTCCCGTCGCGCGCGTAGGAGAACGCCCGCGGCCGACGCGCGCCTCAAGAAGCAGCAGGCGCGGGTGCCGCGCGGGCAGCCAGGCAGGGGCGCGCGGAGAGAGACGCCCGAGGTCATGCAGATCTCCGAGAACTTCTTGCCCGCGCGTTTCATCCCTCGGCCGAGGGACCTGAGCACACGAGCCTCTCGCTCGAGCCGTCATCGACATCGGCACCGCTCCAGACTGCAGGTTCGGGAGTGGGCCAACCAGTACCTTCGCGGTATCAACTCGATGCACGGAGGAAGCAGCCGGGAACTCGCACGCCGCCCATTCATCGGACCTCTAGGACAGAGCACCTGGGCGGCGATAGAGCGCGCGCGTCGCGTGCCCCCACGCGAAGCACTGCGCCTGCGTCGGGAGCGCCAGGATTACGATCCGACTGGCGCCCAAGCTTCGCTTGCAGCGGCGGAGCCCGCAGCGGCGGCAGAGCACGGCCAGGACTCGAGGGCGGCTCATGTGCGTCTGAAGTCCGAGGCCGTGGACGAGCCGGCGAGTTGTGGGAAGGTCACGATGTTGGAGGCCCTGGAGGAACCCGAGGAAGCGGCCTTCTATGCCCTGGAGCAGAACGTCATGGCCGACCCCACGCACCGGAGCCGAGTGATCTTCACGGAGATGGAGCAGCAGCACGGGTTCCTTGGAGGCGAGTACAGCGAGTACGTCAAGTATCTGAACAGGCCAGACCTCGCGCACGGGGTGTGGAAGTTCGCAGAGGAGAAGACATTAAAGGCCGTGGCAGGCCCGACCGTCGCGGCAAAGCGGCCAGGCGATCGGCAGAGGAAGATTGCGATGACACGCGCCTTCAACTACATGACGAGAGAGGCGCAGGAGCGCGAAGAACACGGACTACATGGAGGAGGGGCCCCGGCGCGGCTCCACGCCCCCGAGGACGCCATCGCAGGGGCGACGCTGGACGAGTCAAACGCCTTCTCATACGTGGAGGCGCCGAGCTGGACGTGGCTGCGGCAGGCGGCCCCCCTTGTGATCGCGCCCGACGTCTGGGACTTGCTGAGCCCCGCCCTGCAGCTGGCCGTTGGCCGCGGGGGCTGGTGCCACCCGCTCTGGACACGCCTCGCGATGGAGAACTCTCATTTGGTGCACGCGCTGATGAACATGAATATGAGAGTGATAGGCATGGCGCTGCGCTACCATCTAGACACCGGGCGCTCGGAGGTTTTCGACTCGCTGGAGGAGCGCAAGCTGTGCGCCGGGGGCGAGGACGACGCCCAGACCGACCTTCAAGCTGGACGCCGAGGAACAGAAGAGCCGAAGGGAGGGATGGGCGCGTCAGAGCGGCGCGAGGCTGTTCGTGCCGCTCGCGCCCCACCCCGCCTAGCGTTCGCGGCGACGCAATTGTTCTCGGGCCCAAGGCGGGAGGGGCACCTCGAGGGGTACTTGCAGGAGGTTGCGAGGAGGCCATGGAGATCCCGGTGCTCTCCTGCGACCTGGGCGTCGACTCTCGGCGGGGCCCCACGACGAGGGAGACCTTCGACCTGCCGATGGGTCTCATCGCGGAGGAGCTCGCAGATGCCGTCGCGGGGGGGGGGGGGGCACCCTGTGCCGCGTAGAGCCGCGCCCGCTTCGTAGGCATGCTGGGCGGTCGCGGACCGCGCCCGCTGAGGAGGCGGCGAGGTCTGCGGTCGCACCCGCACACGCGCTGACGGCCAACGAGAAGCAGCGCCTCGACGAGAGGAACGCGGCCACGCTGAACTTGTTCGCCTTCTGCGAGGCCGTGGCCCCGAGGGGAGGGCCCCGGTTGATGGGGCGCCCCGAGGACCCAGGGGGGGGGGCCGTTCCCTTCGGCTTGGGCCACGGAGCTGGAGCGCGCCCTGGAGGAGCGCACGGCGGCCACCCGCGCGGTCTTGGACCAGTGCACCTTCGGCGCTCCGACTCGGAAGCCAACGTGTCTCGCCAGGAATCCTCGTCAGTTGGAGGAGTTCGACGGCCTCCGCAGTCGAGGAGACCACCGCCACGAAGCGAGCGCCGGGAAGCAGTTCGGAACATGCGTCTCGGCCCGCCGGGCCACGTACCCAGACAGGCTCTGCCAGGCCATCGCCCGCCTGCTGGCCCAGAACTTCAAGCTCACGCTGAACGAGGGTTTTGGGCCCACTGGACACTTGCGAGCGGAGGCGGCTGCGCGTCGAGTCGGCGACTATTGCAGGAGGTCCACGGGATCCATGAGCGAGGCCTCGGCTCGAGGTCGCAACGCGATCTTGAAGGAGCCCGACCTGGTAGTCGACCATCACATCGACGATGCCTTTTTCTTGTCCAACTTGGGCCCCGCGGAGTGCCGACCCGAGCGCGACATAGCCCTACAGAAGTCCGCCGACAGCCTGGAGCAGATAGGCATCCCGGCCAAGGACCGACGCCGCCAAGGAGAGGTCAAAAAAATCATCGGCTACGTGCTCGCAGCACGACCTGCCCGACTACGAGCGCCCGTGAGACGCGCCGTCGACCTGTTCCGAGCTTTCGAGCACCTGGCGCGTCGCGAGACGGTGGGCGCGGAGGCGCTGAGGTCCGTCGTGGGCGTCTGGATCTGGGCCGCGCTGCTGGCTCGCCACTGGCCGTCGGCGCCGCAGGCGCTGTTCTCCTTCATGAACGCCGAGGGCCCTTGCTCCCGCCGCTGGTGGGCCTCGGCTCGCAGGGAAGTCGTAGCCATGAAGAGGAGCGTGATGGGCTTGTACTCGGACCCAGGCACGCCCTTCTCCCCGGCCACCCTCGCCACCGACGCCGAGGGGGGCAACGACCACGACTTCGGCGGCCACGGGGCAGCAGGCGCTCTCCTAGGCCCCTGGGCCCAGGAGAGCACGTGGGAGGCTGGCTCGCGGCCTTGCAGGGCTCTTGTCCGCCAGCCCGGCACCATCGAGAAGGTTGCGAAGCGCGGCGAGGCCGCGACGCTGAAGCCGTTCGCGCCTGTCTCGTCCGTGCCGGGGGACGCGCTGGACCCCGACACCACGTGGACCGACTTGCTGGCGGGGCGCTGGAGGCATGCCGACAACATCGCCCTGGGCGAAGCTCGGGCGGCGATCGGCCCCGCTGGAGAAGCTGTCGGGGGCCGCTACGGCTCATCGGACCAAGCTGGTGAATCCAGAGGGCAACATGGTGACGGCGTGGGTCTTTGCGAAGGGAAGGTCCTCCACGGTCGACCTCAACCACCTGCTGAGACGCCGTGGGGCGCTCATGGCCGTCACCGACATCAGGCAGCATCTACCGTGGGTTGGCACGGAGAGGCAGCCCGCCGACAAGCTCTCACGTTCGAGACCATGTGGAGCAATCTACACCGAGCCTGGGGCTCCCACGGCCACGACCATTTTGGAACCGCGCCGGGGGGGCCAATCGTCACCTTTCAGAGGCCGTCAGCGGCCGGCACGGACCCACACCTGGAGGGCAGGGTCACCGCCAAGACGTTGGCTCACTACGAGAGTGCCGCCGCTCGGCTGGCGTCGTGGTGCCAGCTGCATCACGCGAATCCGTGGACGCCTGACGAGTGGGGCGACACGCTGATCGAGTTCAAACATAGCTTACGAGACGAGCTGGGGAAGGCGGAATTCATCGCGACGGTGAGCGCCGTCGAGTTCCGCTTCCCCCGCTTGAAAGACAAGCTGGTCTGTTCGCATGCTGCCATCCGCGGCAGGAGCATCGTGGCGCCCGCCCGACACACGGCGCCCATGACGTCGCGGCCGAGCAAGTGGATCGCAGCGCAGATGGCCAGCAGGGGCCGCCCTCGCCAGGCGCGGCGCTGCAGGCCCACATAGGCCTGCGGCCGTCCGAAATGCGCAGCCTGACGACCGACGACTTGACCTTCCAAGGGGGCGGAGGCTACCACCAGGACGAGGGCGCGCTGGTGATCGGGCTTGGCCTCAAGACAGGGACCAGGGCCAAGCACGCGCAAGCAGCATCGCTTCGTCCGCCAACAGATGCCGTCTTCATCCATCTGCTCCGTCACCTGAGAAGCATCGCTCCGCCAGGCCATCGCCTCTTCCCGCACCCCCTGGAGGTCTACCGCAGGGAGCTGGCAGAGATCCAGAGGGGCTTCGGCATAGATGCCAGGTGGGCCCCGCACAGCCCCAGAGCCGGATACGCTTCAGAGGCTTCAGTTTTGGGCGTAACCTTCGAAAGAGACGGGCCGATGGAGAATGGATTCTAGTTTGCGCATCTACATTGACGTAGTCTCGGCGGCTCAAATCAGCACGACCCAACGCCTCAAGGGCTTCGAGGCAGCACCGGCGCGGGCAGCCCAACACTGGGCCTGGCACATCGCACAGTCTCTGGCCAGCCACGGCGCCCAAGGGGCCCAAGAAGCAGGCCGACGGGAGCCGGGCACCATGTAGACGGGCATCCTCGCCAGCGGCCAGTTCCCAGGGATCGATAGGGACGCCAGGATCGTGGTCTGCCTCGATTTCGTCGCCAGCTCCGAGCCTGTCAGGACGGGCGCGCGCCGATTCCTGCCCCAGTCGATGGCGGGGCGCCTCGCGCCACCCCCCTCGCGGCAGCCTTGGCCGCGGCAGCCACGGCTGAGCCCGCCGCGGCTGCGGGGCCAGGGCCAGGAGCAGCGCGGGCCCCCCCCGCGCGGCCTCGCCGCCGCGGGGCCCGGCAGTGGATCAGGAGATCCACCGGGCTCCGCAGCGGGACCGCCAATAGCTTCCTGGCGGTCGTTGCCGCGCCGGCAGTGCCCCCCGCCGCGGTCTTCCCCGCCGCGGCCCGCGGGGTGGAGACCATCACGAACCACCATCACGAACCTGGGCGGGGCTGCGGAATGAGTCTCGGCACCGGGCGCGAACGCCACGGACTCGGCGGCCCGCTTCGCGGGGGCCATCACGGACGGCACGCTGACGCTAGGAGAGACCGCATGGAAGGGCCACGACCTCCTGAACGTCACAGTGGCGAGTCGGTCAGGGAGACTCTATCTGGACGCCGAGGAGGATATCCCCGCCCCGCTGAGGAGCGAGGCGAGGTCACAGATTTTGCAGATGCCATTGGAGAGGGCCGAGGAATTATCAAGGCTGTCAACATCGTCGCTCCAGGCCGCCCGCTCGCCGACCACCACCTACATCGTTTTGCACCGGGCGGGCTCGACGAACACGGCCTGTTCCAGACGATCGGCTCCCAGGCACGCTACCTACGCACAGGCCGCGTCGCGATGGCATGGGCGACTTCGAATATCACCTTGCAGGTCCGCTGGGCCGATCCGCGCCGGGAGCTCCTGGGCTACGACTTCGGCCCAATAAGGAGATTGGCCCCATTCTTCTCCGCGCGCTGGCCGAGGCCAGCCCAGCCCCCAACCTCGACCTGAGCGTTGACGAGATCGAGGGCGCCCCAGGCATGCCATCAGCGACCTGGCCATTCTGGGCGCGCTACATCGCGCGCGACGGGAGGAAGCTGCTCAACCTCATTAGAGATCGCTGGGCGGAGGCGGGCTCGCGGAGGGGGCTTTTACAGCGCCGACGCCATCACAGCCGCCGTCGCCTCCGACGCCCCCTTGACGCCCGTGGCCTGCGAGGCGCGGGATCCAAGTTTTGTCGACGACGGCGGCGGCCCCCCTTTCACCGCCGCCGCCGTCGAGAGGCCTGCGCAGACCATGGCTTCAAGACGTCGGTATCAAGATACCTATGTGAACAGGGTTGAGTTCCCGTGAAAATGATGAGCCCTCTCACATTTGCAATGGAGCTTGTCTTGTATTTAGTCAATCGCTTCGCGATGGCATCGGCGTCTAGGGAGGGCCCAATAGCAAGCTATAGAAATCATTTAGTGAGCCTTTGAACGAGTGTTTTGTTCAGACAGCAATGCAGAAGGGAGGGCGACGCTCGATGCCGCAACCAAGTTGGCTCGCGCTACCCGCAAGTTCCGTTCGCTTCCGTCTGTGCGCTCTCGTCCTCTGCACCCGCCCAGGGACTCCGAGGGATTCAGAGTGTTTGTCGACGACGGCAGTGGTTCCCCTTTCACCACCGCTGCCGTCGAGAGGCCGGCGCAGACCATGGCTTCAAGACGTCGGTATCAAGATACCTATGTGAACAGGGTTGTGTTCCCGTGAAAATGATGAGCCCTCTCACATTTGCAATGGAGCTTGTCTTGTATATAGTCAATCGATTCGCGATGGCATCGGCGTCTAGGGAGGACCCAATAGCAAGCTATAGAAAGATACATACATACATACCTACATACATACATACATACAGACGTACACATGTATACACATGTGTATAAATATTCACTATACGAGTGCGAGCCCGCAGGTGAATCCGCGGAGTTGCGCGGATCGAGATTTGGTGGCGCGCGCTGGACTGTGCGAGGTTTTCGGTTATTGCTGCAGTTCTTTTGAAGCTTGGACCAGGGCTCCCCCACTGAAAGCGCCCAACGCAGTGATGCCGGGGCCGAAGTGTTCGAGCTTCGCAAAAGCAGCAAGATTCGCGCAGGGATCGCGGCGGACGCAGGACCAGGCCAGGGCAAACGCAGCGCCATCTCGGGCCGCGTCGGAGGCGCGGCAAAGTAAAGATCGCAGCGGGGCAGCAGTTTTGGGAAGTCCAGGGCGCGAAACTCCGAAACAATATGTTGCTACACATGTTGCAAAACATCGCTTCCCCTGCTCGCCGCCGATCCCGCAAAGCGACACGGCGTCGTCGTCAAAACTATTATTTCGCGGCCGCAACGGGCATTTCGCCTCACGTCCGCCCCCTCTCCTGGAGGCCGTCTTGGAGCCTCTATAGGGGGGCGTCTGAGGGCCCGTTAGGGTGCTCTTTTGGGCCTGGTGGGGCCTTTTGGGGCCGTCTTGAGCCGCGCAGGGCGCCTCATGGAGCATCTTGGGGCCGATTCGGGCCATCTTGAACAGAAAAGCGAATCAGCTGAAAATGCTGGAGCCTTCTTCGGGGACCTTCTGACGCTCTCTGGGCGCGTATTGACATTTTTTTGGGGCAGCGAGGATGATGTTTGGAGCATTCTTTAGCTGTCTGGGGGGGCTTCATGGGGAGCTGAAAACGGTTTGGGGGCCTCCTGGGGGCCGCTGTGGGACCGCGCGGATGATTTTGGGAGCCGTTTGTGGCCATTTGGGGGCTCTCTTGGGGCTGCTGTGGGGCCAGTTTGGCGCCCAGGGGACCGAGGAGACCCCCCACCCCGCCAGGCACCTTTCGAATTGATCTGCGACCTCCGACTCCAGCTCCCCGGTCCGACACCCCAGTCGTTCTGCCCCAGGCTCCCCAAACCACGACTCCAACCTTTGAGCGGCCAGCCCACCTTGTCCTGGCGTTTCGGCGCCCACCCGCTGCACCTGCGTAGGTGCCTTCAGCGCGGGACTCTGTCTGTCTGTCTGATATACGCACACACTACACTTTTTGAAGCCAGCGGGCGCAAGAGTGCAAGAGCGGCAAAAGCGCCCGTCGTGCTACGGGCGGGACGCGCCGGGAGCCAATTAGGCACAAAAGGAGACAGAAAGAGAAGATGACAACGAGATGGCGGAGGCCGCTCAGAACGCGCAGTCCGTCCTGGGCGCGCCGAGGATGCAAGGCGCGAGGCGCGAGGCGCAGCTGCGACGCAGACAGCAGGGGCCAGTGCCGGGCATGAAGTGGAAGGGTTTGGACAGGTACCAGAACTTGAAGAGGACGCCTTGCCGGGCCTGAACAGGAAGCTGCGACGGTGCTGACGCCCAGAGGACTGTGGAGAGGAAGAGTTTGAAAAGGCACACGATGCACGTTAAGTGGCCGGCCCAGGGGTGGAGACTTCAACGGGTAGGGATTGTCGAGTGAACCAGGAGTCCCAGAGAGGGAACCCCAGCAAAATTGACCTGACATGCCACCGTGGGTCAAAGCCAGGCACTGACAGCCGATGGACGGCCAGACAACGAAAGTGCATTGACAACCAGGCAAGCAAGGCCGGAGCCGAGGACCAGGAGCGACGCACACATTCACACACACACACACATTGTTTGGCGTTGCGGCCCCGCGCGCCGCGACAGGGCGGAGAGAAATCAGAGAAGCGGGCGCGCACGCGCGTCTAGAGCGGCCGAACCATCAAGCCGCTTACGAACAAGCAGCACCAGCAGCCAGCCGGAAGTCATGGGCGTGGATGACGGGGGGGTCAGACGAGCAGAAATAGACCAGGCCCGGTGACCGACGAAAACGCGAGGCGACGAGCGGGATGAACGACGTAGAAAGAAACGCCAGACGACAGTCCGCGAAGCTACAGCGATGCCAGGGCCGGCGAGCTGGAAGAAAGGCACGGTAAAAGTCCAAGGGGGTCGAAGGTCAACAGTAACGGCGGGGACACGCACACACACACACACACACACACACACGTGCATGTATGCGCATGTAGCTGTACTACTACAACCGATTCCTTGATTGAAGGAAAACTGATCCGGCGCAACTCTGGTCCCGGCACGGGAGGCTGGGTCCGGAGCGCCCCAGGATGGCCAGATTCGGGGCTCAAGAGACGGGGGGTCAATAAAAACAGGGGTCAGTCGAAGCGCCGGATTTTGCAGGATCCAGCAGAGCCAGGGGTGCATTGACCAAAGCTTGGGCGCAGGGTCCTGCAGGACCCTGCAGGAGCTTGCAGGATCCTGCAGAGCCTGACTGACCTGGGTTTGGGTTGACCCGGGTCAGTAAATCCCCCGACCAAGATGGCTTCAAATGGCCCCCAGACGGCCCAGGAGGGCACCAGGAGATTTCAGGGGGGCCCGACGAGCGCCCCAAGACGACCACAATAGGCCCAAGATGGGCCCAAGATGGCCACTCGACGGCCCAACGGGCTCCCGATACCCAGGAGGCCCCCAGGAGGCAAAAATGGTCCTATTAGGAGGAATGCGAAGCCTGTCGGATAATGGGCGATATAGAGACGCAGATGCTTCACTCATCGGGGACAGAAACAGCACTGTCAGTGCCTACTGTGATGGCATTGGTCCGCAGGCGGCCTTGCCATGCTTCGTCGGCGCCTACTGTGCCGCTGGGCAAGGCTCGGGGGGCCATGTCCCTGCCGGGGCCGAGCGCCTGCCTTCCCGCGGCAGGGCGCCGCACATGGCGCGTTGCATCGCCGGGCGCCGCATAGGGCGCAAGGCATCGCACTTGCCAGCCGTTTCGTGGCAGAGCGCCACACGGGGCGCAAACCGCGTCGCGGAACGCGCGATCGCCCTCCCGCCTCCCCCGCTTCGCGCCGGGACGCGCGCGTAAATGCAGCGAGGGGTTCATACATGGCTTTCGCTCGGCCGTTTCTACTTCAGCTCCCGCTCCCCGAGGCAACGGCCGGCGCAGAAGTTTGGGACTCACCAGGTCGTCTCTTGGAGCTCCTTCCCTGGTGGGCTGGGGGGGCATTCGCCCCCTTTGATGCTAGGGAAAAGCATCGACCCACGTCGTGAGATTTGTAGGTTTTAAGGTTTCGGTGTCATTTTCGCATACTCGGCTTCTCGGTCTCCAGAGCGCTCGAAACGACCGAAGAGGCCCCCGAGATCGCTCCGACATGGCCCATGAAGCGCCCAAAAGGGCCCCAAGAGGAGCCCAGGACGGCCCCAAGACGCTCCAAGAGGCCCCCTCTGGAGGGGCTCCAGACCAGACGGCCACGATGGGCCCCGAAACAGCCCAACAGGGCCCCCGGATCAGCCCACCAGAGCAGCCTCAAGAGGCCCCCAAGATTGCCCAGAGGGACCAAGACGGCCCCAGAAGGCCCCAAGAAAGACTCCGCAGGAGGCCCTTAAGACGGCTTGAAAACGGCTTCAAGAGACCCCGAAAAGGACCCATTCGGTATGTATATATATATATATATACATACATACATACATATATATACATACATACATACATACATACATACATACATACATACATACATACACACGTATATGTATATATGTATGTGTGTATGAATATATAATGTGTATGCAGGTATGTATGTATGGATGTAGGTGCATCTGTATGTATGCAAACATGCATGTATGCATACGTAGCACCCCGCAATTGCGGATAAGAGTGAGGGGGCGGGCGCGGGCGACGCGGGCGTCGAGCTGGCGGACCTCGTGGCCCTCACCTTCCCTGTCGATGGTGCCCTCCTCCTCCTCCTGCTCCTCTCCTCCTCCTCCTCCTCCTCCTCCTCCTCCTCCTCCTCCTCCTCCTCTTCCTCTTCCTCGTCCGCGTCCTCGTCCTCATCGTCGTCGTCGTGCTCTGACAAGTTCAGCGCGGGGGGGGTCGCTGGTGGGCCACCTGGAACAAATGCAAAAACAGCCCGCCGCAGGCGCCGAATGTTTGGATTGTTCAGTGAACGTAGTTTGGGTCGCGGGTGCATCGCGGGCTCTCCACCTCCGCTTGGAAGAGATTCAAAAACAGCCCGCGGCAGGCGCCGAAAATTGAGATTTGTACAAAGAACGCGGTTTGGGTCACAGGTTCTCCACTTGGAGCGAATGCAACAGAAGCCCGCCGCAGGCGC